TACAAGGTGAACAAAAGTCCTAATGTATAACAGACCAAATTGTGTAATACGCATGTCTTTATCAGTGCAAGATTTGCTATCACATTATTTGTTGCCTGGGGTAATTTAACATTCGAGCAAAGGAAATACGAATGTATTTTTATTTTTTTTCTTCGAATTTTTTAGAGGAGAGTTTTCAAAACTCATTGTCTGTTGAGTCCAAAATTAAATAGCAGATTAGTGTCATCATATTAGCTGAGTTACCTTTACCCATATCTTTTGTCGATAGGTGCGACATAAGGAGTCGTATTAGCTTGATACGCGGTTTTATCTTCTCTCCTCCCACCCCCCAAAAAATATACTAGGTGACCTCGCAATTTACATTTATTGCAATAGTCAGAGACATATCACGTTTACAGAAAATCAAATTCTGATAATGTGTAACACTTTTTACTTTCTTTAGGTGAGGCATAGTCATATAATTTGTATTTGTAGCGCCAGAAACACTGAAAGAAACTGTTCTTACTTGTATTTCTAAGAAGACTTGTTGCGCGTTGTTAGATTAGGCATTTGGTACTCGAAAATGAACATTTGCACATTGTAAAAATCACTCTTTAAAACTAATTTTTTTCCTAAAAGGGAAAGCCGGAAGGACGAGTGAGTCTGACTTAGCGAGCTAAACTGCACTTTCTTTTGCTGCTGAGAATTCAAGAACATTCTTAAACTTAATCTCTGAAAAGATCAAACTGGCCTTCATTATTTTTGAGTCTCAGATTTCGCTTTAGTGTAAACTATTACTATTAGTTTTAGCAATTTGACGATGTAATTTGTTTTACTGGTATGTGATGTCAATAAAAGGTGGTTCTGTCAGTTAGTGAATTATTGGAAGCCTGGAATGAGTAGTAAGGTTTGTCAATCTCATGCCCAGGGTCTTCGTAGCGTTGCTTTCCTAAACCGCGATTAGCCGTTCTCTTTTGGAGGGGAAGGGAAAAAAGCATGCATACCATCTGCTCTCTCTAAAAGGATTTTCTAATAAAATCTTGAAGAGACAAAGTTATAGGTAGCCGATCAAGATCACGGACTCTGGGCTGAAAGTTCAAAGTTTATGAGTATATTAATCTCCGTGGTCGTCAGGCTTCGTGTTTGAAATTGCACTGAAAGTCATATATTCAATCATGTAACGAATGAGAAAAGCGGGCTCAAAGACTCTTTTTTTTTCGACCAATCAGCAAAAAGTCCAGATTCTGGACTAAGGGCAGACAATTTGTGAAGTAATCGTATGAGGCGTTTTGTTTTTCTTCTTCCCTCTGATGTAAAAAAAAGAATGTTAGTCTTGATACATTGTTGTGTAAAACATTTGGAATTCAGCCTCTGCCGAACAACGGTAGCTTAGTTACAACAGCAGACTTGTTAGCACCATGATAT